GAGACACACAGACCCTCCCGAGCTTTGGCTCTAATCCCTTTCCTCTCTAGCCAGCTGAGCTAGGAAGTATGGGTTCTCTTTTTATGATACCAGGCTTGGAGGACACAGGGGGTTTGTGGGGGTCAAGATGACCAGAGAATACCTTGGCTTCTCCCACACCCTGGTTCTGTTTAGGCCTTCCTCTCCTAAACCCTTAAAAGAGAAAGACTCAGCCAGGCATAGTGACATATTCCTATGTACCTATGTGATTCCAGAACTGGGGAGGCAGAGACAGGAGGATGTCTGTGAGTTCCACACCAGCCTGGTTCACACACTGATAGCCAGGCCCTAAAGGACTACATAGTGAGACCATACCTTTTTTGGATTTTTTTTTTCCCCTGGTTTTTATTTTTAAAAAGGTAGGGGTGATAGAGAGGCAGCTCAGAGGTTCGGACCCAAGCTTGGATTACCAGCGCACATGAGCTGCCTATGAGCTTCGGCAGGATCCAATCCTCTGCCTCTGCCAGAGCTTTCACTCAGGCACACATGAGTGCACACACACACACACACACTTTAAAAAAAAATATTCAAAGGCTGGAGAGATGAGTCAGTAGTTAAAAGAACCCAAGTTTGGTTCCCAGCACCACCCACATCAGGTGGCTCATAACTGCCTATAACTCCAACTCAAGGGACACCTGATGCCTCTGAGGGCATCTGCATGCACACACACACACACACACACACACACACACACACACACAAACTCTCTCTCTCTCTCTCTCACACACACACACACACACACACACATACACACACACACACACACACACACACACTTAAAACAATATAAAGGTAAGGATCCCACAAGCAAAGACACAGCTCTAGGTAATTGCCAGATCTGTTTTCTTTTAAATAATGTTAACATGGTTGGGGAAGAACTCATTTGCCTGAGAAGACAAAGCTGGTTGAATCACAACTCTGACCAAGGGAGATCCTCCTTCCTCTTTGTTAAAGGAGGAAAGCAGCAGGGCTGGACACACTGCCATTACTAGAACCCACTGCTGGGCAAGGCTGAGACTGGAGGTCACCCAGACAACTATGGCTCTGGCCCTTCAGTAGACTTTTCCAGGATATACACATCCCTGGCAGTTGCTTTTGCTGATCATCCCAGCTCCAGGTTGCTGTAAAGTCAAGGAAGGAATCAACAGGCTCCCCAGGTACCCATGAAGGTTCTGAGAAACCGTGTTCTATCTCCCTAAGAATCAGACTTCATTGGAGCCCGAGTAAGGTCCATCAGTTCTAATGGGCCCATATGAACTGGCCAATGCTAAATTCCATTTAATTGACAGTAGCTTGATGAGGCCCTAGGCACCCAAGGACTGCCACGCACAGTCAGACACCTGGCATGAGAAAATGAGACCTCCAAGCCCAGGCTTTGGCAGGCATACTTTCCACAACCTGCTGCCCACTGTAGCCTCTGGAGCAATGCTGCTTTGAAATGAGGTCAAGCTGAAAGCTGCCAACTGTCTTGCCCAGGAGAAATAGCCATCAACCCATTCCAGCCACTGGGAACTCAATGGCACCCTAACTCTTGGTCACAAATCATACTGGGATAGTGGATGGAGAGGTGTCTAAAACACACGCTTTGAACCCCAGGTAGAGATAAACCCCAAAGCTTCTGCCCAGGTATGTGAAGGCCTCTTTGGGATCCTTAAGGGACAGGTGTCCTGAATTATGAGGCCAACTGCCCACAGGTAGAGGGATATCTAGCCACCTGAGGCCAAGGAGGATCTGCAGACAGTCAGAGACAGAGACAAGAAGGAGCCAGTGAGAGTGTGGGCTACATAGTAGGTCTTATAACTGGTCTTGCCCCACCTGACGGAGCTGACCAGTATGAATGAGACAGGTGCCAAGCACAACTCTAAGACACAGCTACCAGCGTGTCACCAGCAAGGCTTCTACAAGTTCCAGTTCTGTAGTGGAGAACACATGATCTGTGCCCACGCAGAGTCACGTGGACAGGCTTATCTGACCAGTCCCAGGTTGAGGGTAGGAAGCTGACAGCAGCTTCAATCAAAAAGACATCTCTTCCCTGAGAGATGCCATTTACCCCTCCACTCTAAGGACTACAAGACAGCAGCGCCATGAAAGGTGACCAGGGCAGATTTCCAGCCTCAAAGCGGCTGCTCTCACCCTACTCCCCAGCTGTCTGACAGCAGCAGGATCCCTCCCGGCTCTCAGAGCTTATTCCCCTGGTCTGTCTCCATGCACAGCTAAACCCTGCAGTCCTGCTGGACACACCATGCTAGTCACAGGACCCAACTCAGGAACTTTACAGTCACTGTTCCTGCCGCCTGTTACTCTTCCATTACGGTGTCCCTTCTCAGCAGACTTCTCTGGCCACTGGTTAAAAACCCAGAACCCCGCTGTTCTTCCTCTAAGCCTGTTTTCCACCCCATCTTACTGGATACCTAACTTCTGGCTAGTCTGCCTCCTTCCCATAACACAGCTCCAGGAAGCAAGGACTCACATCCATCTCACTCAGTGCCACAGCCAACACTGAGACAGAAGCTGGCCAAGATCAGATACCTACGTTTCTATGCAGTGAATGAGCGAAGCAGTCTTATGCCAGGCAACGTGAACTGACAGAAACAGGAAAAGCACTATGCTCTGAAATGCCACCTGACAGAGGAGACAAGGTGCCATCCAAGAAAGAAGATCACAACGTCCAGTGATATACCAGGTAGGCACGCCAAACCATACACCCAGCTGGTTGGGGCAGGGCCCCCATTATTCTAGCAATGACACCAGAATGGTCTTCCTCGTGTCGTGACCAGTGATTTGATGCCATAATAGTTATGCAGAACTGACCCAGAGAAAACAGCGCCACCCCAGGGTCCTGTGTACCTGGCAAGGCCTGGGCGCGAGACCCCACTAATGCCAGATGGTGAGCCAGACAATGAATCTTCCTATTTAAAACACAAGCCCTGTGCCAGGAGACAGCATAGGCCAGAGGATAGATGGAACTTTCTGCATAGGCTATTCCAACCCTAGAGATGGCCTCCTGTCTGCAATCTCACAGGAAATCTCTCCCATTCTAGCTCTTCCTAACCCTCACCTAAAATAAATATACAAAAGTAGAATCCTAAGATCCCTCAAGGCAAGATTCACTGTGGAGGAACCATGGGAACAATAGGCTACCAAGAAGAACTTCCAGCCCCCTAAATCAAGGCACCTAACCATTACCATCAGGAAAGTGAGTGAGCTAGGACAGTCCCCAGGGAAAGGCCTCCCAGGACAGCAAGAGGCCAGGAGGTGCCAGCTTGCTTTAGGCCTGGCACAGACAGAAGGGAATCTCCTCCTGCCCCCAGGCTGTTGCCCTGTAGAACCCTGGAGAGGACACCTCAAACCACTCTGGTCCTTCTAACTTCAGCCTTTCCTTCTTCCCCTGGCTAAAGCCCTTTCCAAGGACAGGCTCCAGGCAGTCTGTCCCATAAGATCTCCCTTGGGGCAAAGGTTAGACCTTCCAGCTTGCTTACCTGGCCTGGCCAGTAAACCATCCCTGCCCTGCAGCCCAGTCTTATCTCTCAGGTATGCCTGGTCATTTACTCTGATCCCCACACCTAAACCCAGAACCCAATGGTCCGAAGTGGTTTCCAACCAGGTAGCCAACTAAACCAAGCTGTGCTGCCTAAAGACCACAGCCACGCATTCTTCACCAGCTTCCCCCACATCTATAGCCCATTGACCTCAAAGAACCAACATGAACTGGACCAGGCATTCAAAGTAGCTGGGTGGTGTCAGATTATACCTCAGAACTCAAGGTCCTCTAGAGGGCAAGGATGTGTCCCACATATAAAGTTCCCTGGGTATTTAACCCTGCCTCTTGTGAGAGTCCGCTAAGCAGGTTAAAGTCTGAGTCAGTGCCACAATACCAGAAGCTGGGGCTGAAACATGAGATCTCAGCTAGTGAAGGTGGGTAGAGGAGACAGCAATGGTTTTTTGCAGTTATAAAACCCTCCCCACTGAGACTCCTTTCCCTAGCAATAACAAGACACCATCTTTCACCTGGGAAGGGCCCTGGAAACTGCCCCAGGGAATGTGGGAACCCAAGCAATTATCACCTGCCTCTTGCTCTGTGAAGGGAGGCAGAGGTTTGGAGATCTCAGGAACCAGTGCAAAGTGGGGCCCAATCCAAAAGGAATAGAGAACCAAGCACAAGGCAGGACCTCTGACTCCTCTGCTGCTTTATGGGGGTCAGGGGTGCTACAAATCAGCCAATGAAAACTGTGAGTCCTTCAGAGTTCAGCAATGAATCATTTCTAGCTCTTGTGGGGAAAAGCAAGACCAGAAGTGGGAGGTGGTGAGGTGACAAGTACGGAATGCTGTCTAGGGCTGTGTTGGTACCAGGTTTACAGAGACTGCGATGCTAGGCCCTGGGAGACACTTGTCGCAGCAGAGAAGCAACTGTATCAACAACTTACATTGAGGTGGACTGTGAGCTCTTACAGGACTCAAGGATGTAGGCTGGTAGCCTGCACACACCTCCACCCATAGAAGCATCTTGCTGAAGGGAAGCAAGGGTCCTGTCTCAAATTCCTACGCTAGGTTGGTTCTGTCTTCTGACGCCTCAGATATCCTGGGAGAGGGGAGCAGCAGTAAACTAGCCAGTCGCCATCACCTACGGAAAAAACTTCGCCACTTACAGCTCCCTAGGGAAGCAGCCCAGCCAAGAGCTGGGCACTGATGGGGGCTGACAAGCTCCCTTCCCAGTCCCACCAGATACCCCTAAAACACTACTGAACAGCGCCACAGGGATAGCGGCCACCCTCCTCCAGCACCGAGTGGTTCCGCTCACGCTCGCACCTGGGCGCGGGCCGAGGGGCCCGGAGCAGGCAGAGGGGTCAGTGGTTTTGCGAAGGTACTCCGATCTCCCTGGCTAGCATGGGGAGGGTGGAGGCTAATCCGCCGACTTCTCACTCCTGGGGCCAAGCTAGGTGCGTCCTATGACCGCTGCTTACCTGGCATCCGGGAGCCGGCGGGGAGCGCATCCCCCGACCGGCCACAGGTCGGGCCACTGCAGATGAACAAGACGCCGGCCGCTGGTCTAGTCGGGCGGGGAGTGCGGGGAGGAAGCCAGTACCGTGCTCAGAAAACAATCCGGGAGGCGCGCTGCTCCGCACCAGTTGAAGCCGCCGGTCCCGCCTCCGCCCGCACCCGTTGCCGGGAGACCCGCGTGGGCCGAAGGGGCTCTTTGTATCAAAGCTGCCGTGACATCACGAGGAGCCCGGGCTCCCGGGGCTCAGGCGGCGGGGCCTTGCGCAGGGGGCGGGTCCTAAGGCTCCGCGGCCTGGGAACCCGAGCCGCGGGGGCGGGGCCCAGGTAGCCCCGCCCACCCAAGGTAAGGGGCAGGTGGCGGAGGCGCCGCCAATGGCCACGCGGTCGGCGCCTCGGTGGGTGGAGCTTGTCTGAGCGCATAGTTACTGCAGCAGATCAAAGACCAGAGTTTGGACTTAATTTTCCTCCCTCTCAGTGCTATGTCCCTGTTTGATGTCACTACTCAAACTTTATATCTCAGTGCTGCGAGATTCAGGTAGCGCTATCCGGCTCAAACTCACGAACTAAAGTCTGCCCCAACCCACCACCAGCTGAAGTCTGATTTGGAGTCTTACCCACAACTTTTTTTTCTTCACACCAAGCGAAAGCTATCCACAGCTAGCCCAGTACCAAGATACAAGTGGCAAGTATACAAGAAACAAGTACCAAGATAAGAACTAGAAAACTCAACAAAAAGAAGGATTTCCATCAGAAACACCGTCCCTTTTAGGCCTTCACATCATTCAAGATTTAAACAAGGCAGAAATGTTAGAATTCAAGCAAGATGTTAGGACCACGGTTTTACATAACTGTGGGAAAGCCCGATTACCTTCCTGACTTGCCTCAAGCCACCTTATTGAGTTCTTTATACTCTACACAGTGACACAAGTACTTGGGTATGGTTAGGATGGGCAAGGTGGCTTCACATCACACACACTCACACACACATACACTCACACAGACACACACTCACACACACACACTCATACACACTCACATTTATACACATACACATACTCACACACACTCACAGACACACACACACATACACAGACACTTGTACCTCCTGCTCTCTAGCTCAGCATTTCTCAACCTTTGGGTTGCAACCCCTTTGGAGTTGAATGACCCTTTCACAGAGGTCACATATCAGATATTTATATTACAATTCATAACAGTAGCAAAATTACAGTTATAAAGTAGCAATGAAAATAACATTATGGTTGGAGGTCAGCACAGCATGCGGAACTGTGTTAAAAGGTCACAATATCAAAAAGGTTGAGAATCGGCCAGGTGGTGGTGGCGCACGCCTTTCATCCCAGCACTTGGGAGGCAGAGGCAGGCGGATTTCTGAGTTCGAGGCTAGCCTGGTCTACAGAGTGAGTTCCAGGACAGCCAGGGCTATACAGAGAAACCCTGTCTCAAAAAACCAAAAAAAAAAAAAAAAAAAAAAAAAAAAGGTTCAGAATCACTGCTCTAGCCCTTTGCTCTCAACCTCTTCCTCACCCACTGTGTGTGAGCAATAAATTCCCAACTACCTCTCTGCTTACCTGGTCAAAGCCCACTAGAGTTGCAGCTTTGCTTAGACAGCCTTAGCTAGAGGGGACCTCCACGTAAGGTCTGTGAAAATGAGAAATTCCATCTTGTAAGGCCTTCTCTGAATTTATGTCTTGTAGTTTCTTTCTTTTCTTTCTTTCTTTCTTTTTTTTTTTTTTTGGTTTTTTGAGACAGGGTTTCTCTGTGTAGCCCTGGCTGTCCTGGAACTCACTCTGTAGACCAGGCTGGCCTCGAACTCAGAAATCTGCCTGCCTCTGCCTCCCGAGTGCTGGGATGAAAGGCATGCACCACCACTGCCCGGCATATCTTGTAGTTTCTACATGACCTTTGGAACTATGTATAGATGCCACACAGACGGTTTCTCACACTGTCTCAGTCCAGTCTCCGTCCTAGATATTCAGGGTCAATGAACTGTATCTTGGCTTTAGAGGGCAGCAGACCTGAGTTTGAGTCCTGTTTGTCAGCTCCTTGACTTGGGAGTTTCCATAAGCTTTTTGAGACTCCGTCTGTAAGAAGGGAATGCCACAGGCCATCTCCTGGGTTGCTGTGTGCCCTCTCAACATGAACACACTGAATGTTAAACCCCAGGCAAAGGTGAGACTCTTGGGTGCTTGGCTCTGAGACCTGAGCTCAGTGGTCTCCAATGGTTTTGGCACGGGTAAGCCCAGGTGACCCTCCTTGGTTTCTCCTCATCAGTTTCAAGGCCCATAATCTGAACTATTCCAGGAAACAGGACTTGAGGTAGTCATGCCTTCTGGGTATCTACAGTCATTCAACCAAACCAGTGGGAAAAAATGAGTGAGACCTAGCAACACCCTCCCAACCCCCTGCTCTGGCTGAGCCAGGAAACCCAGCCATGGCTTTTAAAACACACTAGTCTGGTTAAGCACTTTTTTTTATTTCCCCCCTCGTTGAATGACATGTTTAAGAACTCTATAGAGTAGGTGGTGTCAGTGGGGCCCTTTGTACTTTTCTCACAGAAAGTGGGTCAGGTTATTATCCTAAAAACCAAATTGAACTGGATATGGTAGTTTATGCCAGTAACCCCAACAGGGTCAGAGGCCAGGGGATTGCTATGAGTTTGAGGACAGTCTGTGCTACAAAGTGAGACCTTTTCTCAACAAAAATAACCAAAAGGCAAAGTGACAGCAGGCACACTCATATGTACTGCCCACTGCTGTTGCTTTCTGTTTGCCTCCAGGAAGTTGCCCAATGTGCTGGGGCCTCCGATTCTTCCTCTATAAAATAGAAATAAGACACTTCCTCTTTGAGGTGTGAGGTGTGGGTGAGACAGTGAAGCACCTGAGCAGAGCTGTGCTGTCATATGGCAGCATCTCCACAACAGATCCCTTTGCCACAGCCCTCGCCAGCTGTCTAACTCAGTGTTAGGCCCCAGAACCAAGGGCCATGGCTGAGAGACCCTGCAAACTTAATTCATCTACACAGTCGAGAGAACACTGATGGGCATTTTAGGTTAGACCCATGATTTGAGAAGAATTTTTTCCCAAGACATGGTTTTTCTGTGTAGACCTGGATGTCCTGGAACTCAATCTGTAGATCAGGCTGGCTTTGAACTCAGAAATCCGCCTGTCTCTGTCTCCATAGTGCTGAGATTAAAGGTGTGCACCACCACCACCTGGCAATCTTAATCATTGGGAATTAAATTAAATTGTGGGAGCATTTTTAAATGTTGGGAAGAACAAAAATAAAATCAACATATATGTTTATATTAGATACACACACACTTGGCACGGAGTCTGAAAGAAAGCAGGCACTCAGTAAATAGAAGCCATTACTAAACTATGTGAAGGGTTAATAACAAAAAAGCTTCAGGCAGCCTGAGAAACTCCCTGTGGGAAGATTGAGCACTCTCCCTGGGCAGTTAGGAGCAGGAAGGCTCCAGATTAGGAGTCAACATGCCAGGAGAACTCCTGGTACAGATGCCAGTGTGATAAGGACCTCTGCCAAGATTTACGACCTTGGGAAAGCAGAAAATAGGTCTGTGGACAAGAATCTCCCCACTTCAGAATTCCCCTTTCTGCCCTATAAAACCCAAGCCCCCTACACCCTGTGCACAGTCTCCACTCCACTCCCTCATTGTTCTGATTAGAGAACAATTCTGCTCCTGGAGAGAGGTTCTTCACCTCTGCTGAGCCCTATCTACACTGTCTTTCCGGTGAAGGGTTGAGTGGATTGCAGGGAGGAATGGAAAGGCTTGTGGGAGAATCTTCCCCTGACTTCCAGGAAAGGCCTACCACCTGCCAGCAGGGTTCAGGGAACCAATGATGTTGAGGTGGAGGTGGTAACTGGATCCAGTGGCTTTAAGGACTGACCAACATGTGGGGACTCAAGAGTTAAGGACAAATCTCTGTGTCCCTGTTTCAAATGGAGGAAAAGGCTGTGAAGCTTTGTGTAAGCCCGTCACTTGGGCGGTAGAGGCAGGAGGATAAAGAGTTCAAGGATATCCTCAGCTAGAAAGTGAGCGTAAAGCCAGCTAGGGCCGCCCTGTACCCTTAAAAAATAAAATAAAGAAAACTATACCAAAACAACCTACAGAACAACAAAACACTACAATGCATGGAGGCATGGGCCTATCACCCCAGTTCTTGGAAGATGGAGTCAGAGCCTCAACGACATAGTTTGAGACTAGTCTGTGCTACATGATATTGTCTCAAAACAGCAATAAAGCTTGGTATAGTGGTGCATGCCTTTAATCCAACACTCTTGAGGCAGGGGCTTGTAGTCTCTGGGAGTTCAAGGCCAGTCCCATTTATGTAGGAATTCTAGGCCAGCCAAGGTTGAACCATGAGACTGTCTCAAATGAAGTTTGAATGAGTTAGCAGAGAAAAGCTGGGGATGTGGCATCACTGGAAGACATCTTGTCTAGCATGCCCAAAGCCCCTGGGTTCAATACTCAGCACTGTACAAAGAAAGCACCCAAGAATGAGTTAGCAGGAAATATAGTTCTACCCCTGCCCTTGAGGCTGGGGACATCAGGTGTTTTAGGTTAGCCTTCCTTAGTCCCTTAGGTGTGGCTGTGTTTTACAAATTGTGACATCAAACTGTAGTTAGGTAGAAAACTGGATAAACAACTCCTGTACTCTCTGTTCCCTTATACGCACAGGAGGACCTGAGGCTCAGAGATAACCGGGGCTAGACTCTAAACCATACAGAGTTTGTCTATTAAGCAGGGCCTGATGCTACCTGCCAGTGGAGCCCGATCTCCTTCCTGCTCTGTTGGATGGAAGATGAGCAGGGACAGGGAGTAGCTGGGAGTTAGTTGCTGGTTTTACCTTGCTAGCCCAGTGGCTTGAGTCTCCTGAGGGATCGGACTTGCTTTTTGAGGAGAAAAAAAAACAACATTCAAAACAAACCCTCTTCCAGAGAATGTATCCAAGAATAACTTTCAGATGGCCCAGCTACTCTGAAAGATTGATTCTGTCATGGGACTGACTTTCCTGTGGGTGTGGGTACACCAT